GCAATTAAAAAGCACATACAAGACAGTAGGCGATGCAGTGTTAACATTCACACACATTTTGCTGCAATTACTTGGTGCTTAAGAAAAAGAATAAGAACTAAAGAAGAAGCAGCCAAACACATGCAAGTGGGATTTTCTTTAAATTATTTAGATCTGGATACAGAATATAATGTAGCTATTTATATAGAAATCAGCTGCAAATATTTCACTCTATACAATTTTTCTGGTCTAACTTTCAAGGAAGCAAAATTGTTTCTGACACGTTGCACATTCTGCAATGCCAAGTCTTGAGAAAGGATTGCTACATCAGAAAGAGAAATTGATTAAGGTTGCATGACAGAGAATAGGTTGCTAATGGTGAAATGGGTCCAAAATTAGCTTTGGAGAAGGCATGGTCTTCTCTGACCTGCAAATGACTTCTTCCATTAATAACAAATGCTAATCTAAAATCCAGCAAATTAACAAACAGTCCCATGCAAAAAGCTGAAAATGCAGAAGCAACAGCATAAAATAGTTTTCCATTGATCGCCTCAGGATGTGATCAAGTTAAAATGTTTAACTTTCCCTTGAGATGGAGAGGGAGGGATTGTTGCTGAAAAGAACAGTCTCGGCAGCAAAACGAGTTCTGGGTATGCTACTCTACAGAACTGCCATGATGGGAACAATAACAGACTGTCAGAAACAAAAGGTGTTATTACAAAAGAAGTGGAAGTGTCTGCTTGATACACTGTATGTTATTTAATATCGTCATGCAGAACAAAACGATTGAAACATTTTTAATGCATTCACAGCTGGGTAACAAATAAAACTCTATCTTGTGCATGCTAGGAGTGGAGGGTCCTCAGAGAAGGAACAGAAGCCAAAACAAAACAAAACAAAAAAAGATTTACAGTGACCATTCCTGGGAACTTACTCAGAGTCTTTGTTCCATAACCGTCGTCACCTAATCCGGGGATGTCCTGCACGGAAGTCCCCAGAGAGAGCAATGAGAAAGGAAGAACAGCCGCAGAAGAGGAAGGAAGAAGTCAGTGGAGTTGAAATGGATACTACCATGACTGACCATGTTGATTGAGCAATCTGGATCCCTGCTTTTTCTTTCTGAGACAAGTTTAAACCCATATTCTATGGGAATGCAGCCAATGAAAGAGGCAGTGACCGTTATACATGGCTTTTGGAGCTGGGAGGAAGAAGGAACGACACAATAAATAAAGTCCCAGAAATGATTCTCACCAGCTAAATTTAGCAGATAATTATTAAGAAAAAAAGTGAATATTTGGGCTTGGAACCAGCATATATTTTTAATAATGCTGGTTCTCTGCACAATTTAAGCAAGCAGTAAATGCCCGGGAAGGTGCACATGCCAAGATCTGATTTACTTCTTTAAGCTGTTAGCACGAATGGTTCATTTAATTGTTGAACTTTCAGTGAAGCTGCCCAGGGCAATCAACTTGGAGAATGTCAAAGGCAAAAAAGAGATTAGAGCAGACGTTTTAGAAAGTAATAATTTAGTTTAGTATTGTGAAGGAAATCATGTTTGCATTATTTTGAGCCAGTTATGATCTGGGAATATTTAATCAGAGACAAGTTTGGATTTTTGAGAGGTGCCACAACAGCTTTGAGGAGCCACATTTGCTCTTCCAAAAGTTAAGGTCACTGTTTTATTCTTCTGAAAATGGCATTTCCAGGGAAGGAAGGACCAGCTGGATCCAAACTGCAGTCACACATTGGTCACAGTAGTAATACCTCTCCTGCCTGCCTACAACGGATATTTGCCTAGATGTGTGGGGTTCTGGTATCATGCGTGTCACCCATTTTTTGTGCTGCTGCATGTGACATCGTCTCCAAGAGGTTACTTACGTTCTGGATCACTTGTTTCCTGCTCACTCTGCTCCTTGCTCTTGTAGAATGGGAATTTTCGTGAAAAGATGAAGTTCTTTTTACGCTTGTCATTGAATGACTGTGAAGGAGAAAAGGCATGGGGCAAAAACAGGGACGTCTAATTGTTGTCACACTCATGCTGACAAAACAACTAGTTTGTAAAAGTGGAGAGAACTGTAGTGACTCAAATCAGTTCAAATCAAGCAGCTGCAAAGAATCAGAGGTGGTTGCGGTGAAGTCTGCAGGTTGAAGGCAAAGCCCCTGGAGACTGGATCGATTTGATTACAGATGTCTCAAATCCCAACCTTCAGCTCCTTATTTGGAAACTATCGTGTTTGGCTTGTTCAGATAAAGGGCTACAGATGGCTTAGCATGCTTTGAGATCAAGCCACTCATCTTTAATCACAGCAGACTGTGCACAGAATTAATTAACTGTCTGAAAAAGAATAGGCTGTAAAGAGGGAAGCGGAAGCCTTTGATTTCCTTGTAGTAGGTATGTGAATTCAGCCCTGTGCCAATTAAAATAAAATATTTTTTTCTGGTAGCTGTTGCTGATTTCATAGTGTTTTATCTGGCCTCTTAATCAACAACTTCTTAAGAGTGTTTTAATGCTTTTTTTCATAATTCAACAAAAAATACTTTGTTTTATTTTAGTCATGTATATTTACTCACTAGGTTCCTCTGAATATGCTCTTAGTTTTATGTGATTTAGAGACGGAATTCTGCTGATAAGCAGTATTTCATTGCATGTTGAGCAACATATATTGCTTTAATTCTTCAAATGGGGAATTAGTATGGAAGAAATTGGGTTTTTTACATGATAAAACCTTTGACTTTGTAGACAGTTGCAAGGGCTTATGGCACTGTACTATGTAAAAGCAAGATATGCCTGCTTGGGACATCTATTTCGGATACTAAATGAGGAATTAGGATCCCTACAGAGTCAATTGAGAGAAGCTGGTATTTCCAGCGGGCACCTATGCGGAGCTGCAGATGGTGCTTATCTGAAGTGGTCTGTGTTGTCCTTCAGACAATGTCCTACACTGTTTCCTATACTGAACCCATGCAATGGCCAGACACACGACTTTTGCAAGTGATCACCTCCAAGAGAGCAGAGACCTTCTTAACTCATTTAAAGGACCAATTTCATGTGCTTGTCATTGCTTGAATGAAATATAACCAGTATTGGGCTCCAATTCTGAAATGGAATAGGTATAGAGTTTCAGAACATAATTCATTTTCTTACATTTTTGGAAGCACAGCATAAAATGTGGTTTAGAATATGTATTTCTGAAAGATGTGAAGTTAGGTACTGAAAATCTCTGTTAAAATAGTTGTCTACTTGTGTCACGAAAGTTTCATACCACTTTTACATTTCAAGCATATTTAAAGTTCAGTAACTGAAAACAAAGGAAAAAAATGCACATGTAGAATAAATGATCCATGAAAATTTTTCAGAGTATGTAAACATTCAATGTGAAATTAATGTGGAGGTCATGCACAAATAATCCAGACAGCATGCAATTTCAAAACAAAGCAAATATGAAAGAAAGCCAGAGGAAAAAAAAAAAATGCACATGAAGGATTAAAGTAATCTGTGAATGAAAAGAGGACTGACATGCACATTATATCACTTTAATGACCTAAAGGATATAATTAAATTAAAATGTGTTTTCTGTGATCATTTCTTTTATTTTTCCAAAGAAAGGAATGTAACATGTTAACATTTCCTATTGTGAAAATGTTGTTTGTCACGATTCATCTGAATTTGACATAGTAATACTATAGGCATTGCACTTAAAAAGGGGGAAAAATATATATACACACAATAGCACCTCAAAAAACAAAGGGGTTTAAAAATGACAATCACTTCATTACCAAATGCCATTTCACTTTGGAATTAAAGAGAATGTTATCAAATTGATAAATAAACATGCTGTGTTTCACAGAGATTATATGATAAATAACACTTAGAAGTATTCTTTTTCAACTTTTTACCCAACAGTCTATAGCAAAAACTTCATAAACCCCATTTTCACCAGAAAAGCAGATATTTTTTTCAAGCTTATACATGAACTAACAGTATATTTCAAATTAGGCAGATATATTATAGTGTTATATAAACTTTTGCTCCTTTTGCAATTTCAAGTATTGGATTGTCTTTTTAATAAGATATTGTTCCACTTCAATCTGGACAATTAAAATCTGGCAATTCATAGCAGGTGACAATTATGTCCAACTGTGTCACCACATTTACACCAGTAAAAAACCTTGTTCCTAAAATAAAGCTGACTCTTAGTTTATTAATATCCATAAGCAAGTATGTTTATGCATGTTTTAATATTTCTATAGATTAATCAATGTGTATATTCATGTTAATGACCATATATACTATCACAACGTAGTCATAGGGTTATATTTAAAATAACAAAAAAACTGTGAAATATTGTAAAAGACCAAACTGGGTCTGATCCTGCAAACTTACAGAAATAATTAGTCCTTGGTATTCACTGAATAGGCTTACCAAGTATTTATTTTCTTATACATTAAGTGTGTGTTGCTTTACAAGAAACCAAAAACGAACCTTGATTTTGGTTTTGTATCCAATATAAGTGTGGTTAAAATCAGACCGATGGTCTCCAGCTTAAGGATATGAAATCCTGCAGACACTCAGCAAAATGGTTCTTACAGATACCACGATATATATCTCTAACATATAGAGATAGGGGGGTTGGCAAAGAGAGGAGAGGGAGACTCATTCAGAATAAAACCATGTTTTCATTGAACACACTGTCTAAAATTTTGTTCTGTTGCCTAAGTTTTTGTTCTGTTGGTGGATCAGTAGAGACCAACACTGAATAGATATTTTCTTTTTTAAGAAAGGATCATGCATGTGAGGAATGGTGGTTGGGTTAAACTACAAAATTCAGATGTATGTTTTTGAGAGATTTTATTTCTATAAAATAGAAACTTTGAGACCTGTCAAATATTCTGGAGCCAGGTTTCACAGGATCTCCCTATGCTGCTGGAGAGGTGTGAAACAGCCGTAGGATAAATGAGAGAAAGGTATTTGCCTACATCTCTCAGCCTGATGCAAAAGTTGCATGCAACTGGAACTGAAATTGTGATATCAAGCTTAGGCTTGATTCAACAGTATTTATGTAGGCAGAGTTTCTGAAAGTCAGTGAAAAAGTGCCTGAAAATGGATTCCTGTATAAGTTGCAATTTCTTGCCATGAATATGGTAAAATCCTGCAATGGCAAATAAAACTCAGGCATTTCAGTCGCAGTGAAAAACCTGTACAGTAGCGTACTTTTATACCTCACTGCCATCAGTTCACACAGACTACAACTAATCTAGGAATTGGCATTAGTAGGCACTTTATATAGACAAGTGCCTAAGACTAAAAAGCAAATGAAGTTTTCAAGTACTGTTTGACAACTGAACAGTGAGGTCATTCTGCACAACATTTGAACTGTGATGAAAAAGAGAGTCTTTTTTTAGAAAAAAAAAGGGGAGAAAACCTTTCACCGATGTCCTGGCTTGAATTCTTGTTTGATACTACTTAGGCATTAACTGTGTTTTGGAGAAGCCAGAAAACATTTTGATGACCAAAAATTGCTTGACCAAATATCCTCACATGTCCCCAGCTGTGTAAGTCTGGCTTACACATACCAACCTTCCCTGGTTGTGACAGACATTAAGACACTTTGTGTTTCTTCTCCTTAAGAACTCCCTTCAGTATTTTTTTGTGTCAACATCATTTTTGTATTCTAAATGCTTTTCCCTAGGTGCAGCAGCTATATATATTTATATATGTTACTCATCAGCTAATAGGGTAGTGTTTTTTTAAAGGAAACTTCCATGTAACATTGAATAAACAATCCAATTTCAAAATTTGCTTTATAGTGGTAAATATTACAAAGAATAGTGCATCAGTTATTTGATAGTTTTACCATACTGCAATAGGCAACTATGCCATCGTTTACTTTGAGCTGCTTCCCAAGTTTTTTTTCACGATGTAGCCGATCCAGCCCGTACTGTTTAGTGCAGATGTGCTCCTCAGAGAGGTTGTCCTCTTTACGCTTTTCCCCTAATATGTTGGGGAAAGATTTCTTCTGATGCTTTAAAAGCTCTAAAAGCAACTATGTCTTCTAAAAGCCATTAAACTCCCAAATGCATTGGGAACACTTTATTTTGCTGTGTCATTCAACCAATGCTAATCCTCAGTCATAAGCTGGGAACCAGTGTTTGGGGATCACCTGAGAAAAAGCTGTTCCAGAGCACTGGCTGTGAAATTCTTTTATACAGGGTGTAGATAAATTTCATTTACCACCTATTTTTAGGCAGGTTTGAGCTAAGCTTTAGCCTAGTTTTTACGTTACATGATTATCTGTATCAGTCGTGTTCTGAGATTGGTCTAGCAGTGTATATGAGCTCATTCATTTTGCTGCTTCTCATCTGCCATGTTTTTTTTTTTTTTTGATTCTTCTCCTTTAAGACCTGTTTTTGGCCTAACTTAAATGAAAAGCCTTCACTTACACAGCATTCCACAAAAATCTACAAAATTTATCAGCAACATTATGGCCCTGGAATCCTCTTCTCTATATTTAATTCACACTTTTTGTATTAGGGACATTCTTTTACTGTTTGATCACTGACTTTAATAAAGGTTTGGGCACTCAAATGCTGTTAAATCTCTACATGTTAAATCTCTCCCATTATATCGAAAAGTCACACTGATACCAGAAAGAAAAGTTTTGGGCTTTAACAGACGCTCAGTGTCATTTCGCCTTTCAAACACACATTTCACCTCTCTGCTTTTACAGTGGGCTTTTTCACTTAGCAGTTAGAAATGCATGATGAATGTGAAGTCTCCAAAACAAACTTTTGAAGACAATCCTGTGTTAGTGTGTTTGCTTTATGTGACAAGTGGTTTTGCAGTTAGCATGGCAGCATGGCCTGGGGAACGTGGGTCAAACCGCACTCTGGGATCTTCTGCCTCGTTGTTCCGTCTGCAATGCCAGGCCCGTAGCGGTGCCCTCCTTACAGGCACTTTGGGGGGACTAGGTCAACACT